CTAGCCCTGCTCGCCAGAAAGACCCCCCCCTTCACTACAACCCATGTCTAAGCAAAAGCTTGTCGAGGAGCGAGGGGAAGAAGGGAGAGTACAATCCGACTAATCTACCTCCACGCACGAACAGAACGCTTGCACATCGCTTGCTACTGCTGGTAACCATTGTAACGCTACCTGCCTGAAGTCGGAATACTAGGAATCTGGGCAGGTGGTCGGGATATTCCTGAAAGATATACCCGCCCAGATGGTATCTTAGTCCAAGGGTCCAAACACCATGACACTAGCCCAGTCTGAGGGGACATAAACGCTCCGGTCGCCCCGGTGGTCTAGTGGGTACCCTCGCAGCCTGCTAAGGGCCAGGTCATGGGTTCGAGTCCCGGCAGAGTGAGTTTTTTTCTCACTAAAATATATCCTGGTCTAGGATGAAAGCGACGCGCTGCAAAGCTCGTTGTTAGTAAACCATAATCGACTTCGTAAGTCGCGAGGGAAGGGATTGCTGTACCCTTCTCGCGATAAAAACACCTCAGGCAGGAACCGCAGGAGGGGATCCAGCCCCCCCCTCCTATGTGACCCCGGTTGGGTCGTCTAGCTAGTAGAAGTGGAGGATAAGGGCCAGAGGAGGGGCAGACGAAAGAGTCCAATGATGGGGAAAAAATACAGAAAACGCAGAGGGTAGAACCTGAGGAGGGGGAAATAACAACCCATCTGAGGCATCAACTCTATACTCAAGGATACGGAGCCTCACAAACTTCTCCCACACGTCCAGGTGGATTTCAAGAGAGCTACGCTCTCGGCTAGCAAAAGGGCAGAATTAATATAAGGGGAAACTGGGGCAAGCAGCGTGCAGGCTGACAGCGACTATGAAAGCTTAGCAATGGAGTGCGGGAAATGTCTCAAGAGGAAATCAGGGGCAGAGCTACATAAGCAAGCAAATAAGGAGAGAAGAAAACGTCGGGGGGTCTATCAATTGCAAGAGGGTCACGAAGAACGACGGTATGACGCCAGGATAGTCCCGAATACGCAAGAAAAGCACAAGAAAATGCTCAACCTAATACAAAACGCAGAAGAAGCAAAAATGCTCAGAGACAGCCGCGCAGCTGGAGCGGCTAGAAAGCAAGAGAAAGTGAGTACGTTGCTCCGCGCGCGGTCCAATAAAATGGGGGGCGACAAACGGGCGTCTGTTGTCGAAGTGGACGCTGAAGAAATAGAAAAAATAGAAAAATAGAAAATAGGGGGGGTGGACAAGGCCAAAGATATATAGCACTCTCAAAAGCTCCAAACGGGGGCGTCGACAGTAGACAGTTCGTTGTCGTAGGCTACGGGGGTTGGCAGTAGAAGACACAAGCTGCGGGGGAGCAACAATAATGCGTGCTCGCAGAAGCTCCAACGGGTAGCGGAAGAAGAGCATGAAAAGGGTTACTGAGGAAACAGACAGGCAGTATTGTCGAGCTCAAAACACAAGAGCGTAGGCTAAACTTATCACGTCGTCCGCAGACGGCTGTAAGAGCGAGGTGCTTGGTTGGCTACGGTGTCCAAAAAAAACAAAGCTATAGCATCAGATGCGCAAGAGGCAACACAAAAAGCAAACACAAAAACAAAACAAAAAGAAGGTACAAACCAATGTCAGGGTCGTAACCAGCCAGGGGCAGATTGCACCGTGGGGGAAAGAACTGCTGACATGGCGAGGGAATGTATGCAACAAGAAACCAAGAACAGGCGGTCGCCGGCGTCCAAACAATGCATTTTCACCGAACAGTGGCTGAACACGGCGCTGTTGTTGCTGAAGCGGGCGATGTTGTGGCCGAAGTTGGGGCTGTTGTGGCTCCTCTGGATTCATCGACGTTCCTCCGGATGCCACCAATGAAGGACCAGTTGCGATGTACTTGCAGACACCAGGAACCGCAGACGGCGTGATATTCGGAGCTGTAGTGGCAGGGGGCGAAGGAAATCTTGATCGGCCCGGGGGCGAGGGAGATGGGAGATCTTGATCGGCCCGGGGTCGTCGAGGAAGCGGACGATGAAGAGGTCAGCAGTGGTGGTGTGCCGCGATATTTTCCCCAACCACCACAGCGCGTCTTTGGCTTTGTACCAGAAGTAGGCCCCGACGGGTATGGCGGTGGCGCTGAAGCGGCGATGTAGGTGTCGCGGGGGACGTAGGTTGTTGTTGTTTTTGTTGTCGTTGTTGTTATTGTTTCTCACATTAGCTCTAAAGTCCACAAAAGATGGGGAGTCCGTGGTCTCAAAACCCGGCACATACGACGCCGCGCGGAAACAAAACAATAATAGGGTACAAACCGCTCGGAAAAAGAAAAATATATATAGAAAGAAAAGAACAGCTACCGCACCGACCGTTCGAGAAAAGAGGCCTCGGAAACCGATCAAAAAAATAAATAAATAAATTAGCAAGGGAGGACGCTTCCCACACCCGCCCAAAGAAAAAGTCAAAGGGTAACGTACCAGCACCAGGCACCACGCACCACCAGGGCATGGGAGTAACGGAGAAAAAGGGACAAAGAGGCGGCAGATGGGCAGACAGCCAGACGTACAAAAACAAAGGCAACAGCAAAGCGAGATCAAGGTACCCAACGCAGCAGAGTAGGCAGAGAGGTCATGAAAAAAAGGAACACAGAAACACAGCACAGAGGCCGAAGGCAATACAAAGGACATACACAAAGGAGTATAGCATACAGCAGGGAGGGAGGGCGCAACAAGATGAGCCGGGAACAAAATACCTCAGGCAGGAACCGCAGGAGGGGGTCCAGCCCCCCCTCCTATGTGACCCCGGTTGGGTCGTCTAGCTAGTAGAAGTGGAGGATAGGGGCCAGAAGGGGCAGACGACAGAGTCCAATGATGGGAGAAAAAAAAAGAAAAAAGAGTTCGCCACAAGTGCTGCCTCGGCCGCCCTACTCGCTTCTACAGCAGTGCCCGGTCGCCGTTTCTTCCCCCCCACCGCCGTTTCCCCGACTCTCTTTCTCTTCGGTCCTGAGATGGCCGTACTGCTTCCCTCGCGCGCTGGCGCTTCGCGGACGCTTCCGCCTCCTGCCTGTGCCATTTCCTCATGAACCATGCCGCCCCGTCCTCGACCTTGTTGTACCACACCTCCA